GAGTGGTGAGGTACATGTAGTAATAAACACTACCTACATGATTTACATCCTCGACTGCCCACGTGAACACACCCTCCAACTCCACAGTATCTCATTGCTACCCCCAGCCAATTGATGTTCATATTGTGTTCAGATAGGCTATCGAGGGTGTAATCTATAGATAGTGTACATCGCTACAATCGAAGCGATATATACTACTATGAGGCAATCATAATGTTGCTGAGTGGTGAATGTACAGTACACTTCCTATTGGGCAGACTTTGACTAAGGAGGTCATCATAGTACTCGCCAATTCGTCGGCGGCCTTAGTGGCGCAAGCATTGGTCCAACGTGCAGCACTAGGGCCACCAACAAATGGAGCGTGAATACGTCCAGGGATACACGCGCTGGAAGTGGTCCGCTGTTATGGGTGCTATCGTCAGCTCCATCGACAACGTTACATACTTTACCTACGAAATCATCAATGTCAGCGTTGTTATGGACAATGGGTGGCTCAACATGAACGAAATCCACTGGGCTACCGCTGAGACACGCTCGATGGTTGCATGCGCTATGGTCCGCGCACCGTAGTGGATGTTCTTGCGGTCGCCCTGTGGATCTCGTGCAAAGTAGGAGGAGTGCAAACAGAATATGGCCCAAGTGTTGATGCGGATGGCTCTCACGAAGGGTTAATTGGAGTGCTTTTCTTGTCACGCGTCCGCAACTCGCGTTATGCAGTCGTCGTAGTGGATTCCACTATCACAAGTGGACTCTACTACCATGCAGGTATCATTGATGTTGTACTGGTACGTACCGGGTATTGTTCGAGGGCAGCGGGTATTGATAGTGATATTGATATTACGCTGTAACCTTAAAGTTAAAATCGCTCAGTGGGCACTTAATGGCCTCGCCCGCGTACTAGCTGCGTTAGCAGCTAGCGGACTTAACTGCTGGAAGAAAACCAATTTGTTCGGCCCCATGGTATAAGGATGCTTAAGCTGCTGGAGGTGGTATCCTGGGGTCCGGGGAAAGTCGCGGTGGCCTGAGTGTCAGGTCGGCAGCGGGTATTGTTCTAGGGCAGTTGTAAGCAGATCTGCAACTACCTCAGCTACGTCCTTGCTCCACCTCGACCAGTGAGTGAAATTGGACCTGTATTGGTCGAGATAGAGCTTGTCGTGTCTCTGTAGTGATGGCCGCTGCATGTCGTGTAGCACGCCATTAGGGAGGCGAGTCCATGTATGCGTGAACGAGGCTGGTCCCACCTCTGAGAGTTTTACTTTGGGGCGGGACCAGCCGAAAATTAGTGAAATTGGACCATTATCTCAGCCAATAATCATCCAATTTCACTAATTTTTCGGCGACGTGATGTCGTCGGCACGTCCGAGAGATGGCGAGTCCATGTCTGCGTGAACGAGGCTGGTTCCACCTCTGAGTACATCTCTCGGTGGAGGTACCAGTCGAAGAATGACTGGAATTGGTCCTGTATTGATCGTGATAGAGTATGGCATGCCTGTGATACTAGTGCTGCAGTATTACGCATGATACCTGCATTGTCATAATAATCATGCTCCGGATCAGCAACACGACTTTCATGTTAGTCGGTCGATAAAAGCACGCACAAATACCCCAGCAAGCGTGAAAACCGCAAGCACGCGTTAACCCCCCAAAAATTGTTCAAAATACGCGACACGAGTAAATACCCCAAAAAGCACGCGTGAAAACCTTACACCCGGCTGGTCAGCACGATTTAGCTCCGCCTTCATAGCAAAGGTGGAGTTACCCCGGGTAACTCCAGCCGTTGCGACAGCACAAACTGCACATCCCTGCACGGCGGGTAAGTTACCCGCCGTGCAGGGATGTGCAGTTTGTCACGGAGTCCACGTGTGTGCTGTCGCAACGGCGTGAGCCACCGAGCATAATTTTATTCTTCAAATGTAACGTTAGACTTGATAATCGGTAAGCTGTTATTATTATACTGTTTTCTTACAAACAACAAAATATAGATTTAATATTTATTTTATTTGTTCGTCTGGTCTGAAATTAGGAGGAGTAGATCAGAAACTCCGTCATTCCCGAAATATGCTTGTCTTTGATTCGAAATATACAGGTAGTCACATGGCTTGAACAAAGTCTTCAACAAAGTAACATCGTTTCTCTTCAGTACTAGTAACATACATATTTCCTGTATATCTATCTGCCTCCAACGGTGAAAATGGCATTTTATTGATGAAGTCCTGGCGTTTTTGACTTGGTGACCTAATACATCGTTTGAAAATTCAAAATTGAGGAGCCAAACACGTCACATTGACAACAACACACAAAGACATTTGAGAGCATGCAAAACAAGCGCAAGCAAAGCAAGCGGTTGACAATTGACGACAAGAACTCGATTAGAGAGTACTTTAAGGCAAATATGCCAATCAAGCCAGCTCTACCTCGGAACTTGGGCCATTCACTTCAGCTTTTGCTTAATTGACCAGCAGATAGTCACCCTTCAAAGTTAATGTTTGTGGTTTCTTTGTACAATAGGCTGACTTGGAAACTTTATATTTGGAAAAGCGAGCAAAAGTTGAGGGATCACTGAATCTGTTTTTCACAGCTAGCCAACAATACACCCTAGCAACTCTGCAGTCAAATGTCAAACTGTTTACTCGTCAGCTCCGTCATGACGAGAGGTGGTTACAAACTGCGTAGATATACTACTCTGTGCTTTTTTATAGTGTACACTTGAGGAAATTTGGCCTATCACGGCGACTCTTGGGCCAAATTGTGAATTTCGATTGGCTACATCCACCCCTAATCTGATCCGCAGATTTTTTCCGCCAATTAAATGGATGCAGTGTGTCATCTACAGCATTTGATTGGTAGGTATACACCAATGATATCGATGTATTTCCATGAAACGCTTGGTTTTGCTTTCATTGGCTGAAATATTTGTTTCGTGACTCTCATTGGTCAAAACAAATGTACAATATTTTAAAACACACCCATCTGAGACAAATGTACATTATATTAAAGCACAGAGTATCACTTGGGAGTACAACCTAAACAAACTCACAGCATACCAATGACCAGTCGAGAAACTGTCAGGTCATCGATTGTCACATATGTATGGTTAAGAAATAATTACCTCTGAATATCCCGAGGCTAAGCTTACAGTATGTAACGTTAATGGACCCAAACAAGCCTGCCAAGGTAATTACGCCCATCTGTCTGAGAATTCCTTGCAAATCCCTACCGCATCATCACGAACCATTTCCAGAGCGTTTTGGCAGTCTACAATCCCTTTCCTTATTTTTCATTTTGCCATGAAGTTCACCCTCCCCAGTACCATTGCCCTATTTGCGTCGGCGACCACCGCCCAAACCAACAACACCTTCACGGGCATCGACGGCCGCGCTCGAACGTTGAAGGAGGAGGCTGCCCTCCAAGACGATGCCAAAATCAACCGCGCTTGCCACCAGGAAAACGCCAACTACATCCCGTCCCTTAAAGCCGGAGAGTACTCGACTAGTGCGTTCCACAACTGCT